TTCTTCCTTCATTTCTTCCTTCCTCTCCTTTTTGTTTTCCTACAGATTTTAATATTTATGTTTACATATAAGTCTACAAATATATTTGTCCAAATGACATGTAGCAGAAAATAAGGGCTTTCCCCCCTCAACTGTGTTCAAGTATTTTAATACTATATATTGAATAAACCTTATTTTCCAACTGATTTTTAAATTTATTTTTACTCGTACAGTGTTCCTAGTATTTTTTATACCTGTAAATCTCTCTATCTTTTATTAAAATATACAGACGATAACACTCCCAATTTTAGAGTGTACAATTCAGTGGTTTTCAGTATCTTGTACTGTCTCATTTCAGAACATTTCCTTACTCCGGGAAGAAATCTCATAACCATTAGCAGTCATACCCTATCCTTACTTCTCTTGGCCCCCTGAAACCACTCATCCACTCTCTGTCTTTATGGATTTGTCTCTTCTGGACATTTTATATAAATGGGATTATATAATCAAGTAAACTTTCGTGTCTAGTTGCAAAGGATTTTCTTTAATTCAAAAGTTTCACATGTCCTACTTTTTGGTCTTTGGTATAACTTGGGAGTTTAAGGCCAGGAGATCTGTGCTTTCCCCTCTGTGTACTGACTGGCCCTCCCCATCCCAAACCTCTCCACGTGGGAGGAGATGGAAAGTTCTAGACCAGCAACACAGAAGTCACACTTGTTTTCCCCTTGAAATTTTGACCTTGTCTAGACCTCGTGTTGAGAGACGTCTTACATCATCACAGGGACAGTGTCTATCTGGATCGCCTAGGAGAGTGATTAATTTAAAAAAAAATCTTTTCAGGAATAGTAAATAAATCTTCCGTTACTTGGTAAAGACATGTCATACCAATTCAGGGAAGAGTCATTTTCCTGATGCTGAGATAGCAGCACAAAATATACTCATCTAGGCTCGGTTTAACTTTTGTTATCACAAAAGCCTTTTTTTTCTCTTACTTTGCCATTTTTTAAATTGAAAACATCCTCCAAACTCCAAACTGTAAATATTCCTGTTTAAAATTCAGTGCAAAATAAAAAAAAAATGGTAAGAACATTAAAAAACAAAGCCACAAATCTCTTGTTCTTAATCTCCTGAATTTCAAAGAGCTCCTGGGAATACCGAGTAAGCCGTTTTGTTTCCTGAACCCTTCAGTGGGAGGAAGGCACTAAGGTTCTTTGCCTGTGTGTGTTTTTTTAAAGAACATTTTTCTTTGCGCTGTGCCGGAACCTCTTTGGAAACTCAGCCTAAAAACCAATTTGCTTCTCCAAGTCCATTTTCTTATGGTTGATTCACAAATTGTAGCAACTGAGTCAAATAATGACAAAAGATAGGGGTTTCTTGTCTGTAGAAGGCAAAATGGTCCGTGTTGCTCCAATTTCCAAGTCTGGCTGTACTCCCATTTCTGTAATGAAAAGGGAAAAAACCTCTATGGTGTCCAAGCTGTATCTACCCTCCCCTCCCTCCCTCCCTCCCTCCCTCCCTCCCTTCCTTCCTTCTTTCCTTCTCTCTCTCTCTTTCTTTTCTGGTTCTAAAAAAATTCATTTAGCCCTTTATAGTTATTTTCCTCTTATCAGTCACAAAATCGGGTGCCTGTCACTTTTTCTGTTGTTTCTCTTGTTTCTTTCGCCTGGTTAATATTTGAGTCCCCTGTTTTGAGTCCTGTGTTTCTTGGCATCTTTCCCTTGGTGGTGTTACGGCGGGGAGTAGGGCTCTGCACCAGAACCTCTCACACTAGGACTGGGCCGGCACGGAGCAGGGCTCTCAACCTTTGCTTGCATCCCAATCGCTCCGGGGGCTTGTTAAATGCCGATTTGGTTCAGTAGGTCTGGGTGATGAAAGGCCGTTGCTCTGTAGGCGATACTTTGAATACTAAGGAAAGAAATCGAGCTTTTTCTAGATTTTGATTCAGAAGCAGTGATGTGCCCGGTCACTGGGAGGATTAGGGAAGTGAAGAGCAAGCCCAGGGGGAGAGGCATCCTGGTGATGGGGAGGAGGTGCACCTGCACTCAGCATCACTGGTCCTCCTCTTCAGTCTTTCCAGGATGTGGCCAGTGGTGGTGGCTGAAGGGTCTACACCGGGGCACTTTTCTTATTACAGGGTGTCCAATGTTTTTTTTTTTTTTCCTTTAAAATGGAATGCTTCATGAATTTGTGTGTCATCTCGCACAGGGACCACGTGAATCTTCTCAGTATCATTCTGATTTTAGTACATGTGCTGCTGAAGCCAGCACCAAGCCCGATACTCTGATCTTCTCAGGTAGTCTGCGAACCATCTGATATCCTTTAGTGTGTTGCTTTTTTGGTTTAAGTTAGCCAGAGTGGGATTTAGTATTTATTATACATCCAAGAATCTGGCCCATTCTTGCATTCTAATTAGGTGTTGTTTACCTGGAGAGCTAGGTGATGAGGCAACCTAAGGCTTCATCAACTCAGAAAAAAGAGTCCTAGATTGATTAGCAATGCCTGCACAGGTACAGGACAAGGAGATATGAGTGTGCACACTGTGCTTTTGTCCTCTTCATGTAATTAGTTCCCTGTTGCTGATGTAATAAATTACCACAAACTCAGCCTCTTAAGACAACATTGATTTCTTCTCTCACAGTTTTAGAGAGCAGATCCAAAGTGGTTTGGCAGGGCTGCATTCTTTCTGGAGGCTACAGGGGAGAGTCTGTTTCCTGCATTTCTGGCAGGAAGAGGTTGCCCGCACTTCTTGGTTCAAAGCCCCTCCCTTCAATTTCAAAGCCAGCAATGTAGCAATGACTTCAAATCTCTCTCTGACTCTCCAACCTGTGCTGCTGTTATCACATCTCTAACTCCGACCCTCTTGCCTCCCTCTTCTAAGGGCCTTGTGGTTTCATTATATCCACCAGAACATTCTCCATATCCTGAGGCCCTTAAAATAATCACAATTGCAGAGTCCCCTTTGCCGTGTAAGGTAACATGTTAATAGGTTCTGGGGATTAGGATGCAGATACCTATGGGGGGAACATGATTCTGTCTATCACGTCTATGAAGTAGTAGTTTGGAGCCTCCAGGGAGTATTCTTAGCACTCCCATAAGTGCTCAGTTCTTTGGTGACAGACTCATTTTAATGAAAGATGAATGCATTTATTTATAATGATAACTTAGAGACCAGAATACAAGAGCATTTTGTAGAGAGCATCTCCTTATTTTGGTATTCCCCAAAGTACAAATTATTATACAATAAGTTAGGAATTAGACAACAAGAAGTAAAAAATTGAGGGAGACACCTAATTCTGTCAAGGCCTAAGAAAATATTTATCTCCATAAAACAAACATCCCTCTAGAAACAGGGGAACTCGTGTCCTTTAGATAGAGCAGGTGTTGGCAAACCATAGCTCACCACCTGTTTTTTATAAATAAAGTTTTATTGGGACACAGAAAGTACATAAACCCACTTGTGTATGTACTGTCATGATTGTCTCTGCCTGGTGACATGTGTGGACTGCAAAGACTAAAATATTTACTATCTGGCCCCTTATAGAAAATATTTGCAAACCTCATGGGATAGAGATTTATTAGACCAATGGTTCTCAGATTTTAGTGTGAGAATCACCTGAAAGTTTTATTAAAACATAAATCTCACCTTTTACCACTCAGTGGGTCTGAAATGGGATCCAATAATTTGCTTATCAAGTTCTCAGATGGTGCCAGTGCTGCTGTCTGTAGAACACACTTTGGGAAATGGTCACTAGACTGTAAACTCCAAGAGGGTGGAGACCCACCTAATTGGCTTGCTGATGTCCAAAGCGCCTAACACAGCAGTCACAGCACTGAATGCACAGAGCGGTAGCTAAATGACAGTGGGACCTGTGTTTTTCTGTTAGGGTTAGATAAATACTGATACACTAAACACAGTTTTCTATGCATGTGTTAGGTAAAATCATGCCCTTCCCCACCAAAGATGTCTGTGTCCCAATCCCAGGAATCTGGAATTTATGTTGCAAAAGAAACCATGCTGATGTGATTAAGGTTATGGACCTTGAGATGGGGGGATTGTCCCGGACCACGCAGGCAGCTGATCTGATCACATGAAAACATTTCCCTGCGCAGAGAAACAGGCAGATTGAAGAGAAGGTGAAAGTGAAGAGACAGGAGAAAGACCACCTGTAGTTGCAGGTGTGAATACAAGGGGGCCTTGAGCTGAGTAATTCCAGGGTCTTCTAATACTGGACAATGCCCACCAGACAACAGCCAGAGGGAACCCGAGAGCTGAGCTCTAGAACCACGTGGAGCTGAATTCTGTCAACTACCCGAGTAAGCCTGGGGTCTGATTCTGCTCCAGAGGGAGGCAGGTGCCAACACCTCAATTTTAGCTCAGGAAGACCCGTGTTGAACTTCTGATCTGTAGAACCATGAGATAATAAATTGGTGCTATTTTAAGCCAGTGATTGTGATAATTTGTTGCCACAGCAACAGAAAATTAACATAACATGTTTTACCTTCTTTTTGCTATTTTTGCTGATTTTGCAGTGACCTGGAGGACCGTATGTTATTTTTCCCATCCTGGGTCAGGGAGAGACATCACTGACGGATGTGATATTCTCAATGACATTGCTGTATTTATAACTCCTAGCGTTCACCACTTTCTGTAATAAACTCCATGCATTATTTGTTTAGTGTCTATTTTCACTTGAACCTGAACTTTACAAGAGCAGGGGTCCTGCCTGCCCCATCGCTGCTGCTTCTATAGCAGTCTGCAAACATAAGAGGTGTTGGAGGAATCTCACGGCATAACGAAACATCCGTGCCCATGGCCTCAAAACTTCAACATGGTCCTCCAGTTAGCCTTGCCCGATGAACACTTGAGAAGAAATCTACGTGCCATCCTTATGCTAATATCAATGCCACCAATAAAAGTCAACATGGTCCACTGTATGTCAAGCACCATAGTAAACACTTTGCAGAAAGCAATTCATTTTATTCTCATGACAACCCTCTTTGGTAGGTACCAATGTCTCCAATTCATAGACAAGGAAGATGAGACACAGCTTAAGCGACTTTCCCAAGGCCATGAACTTTGATGGGAGACCTGGGCTTGGAATGTGTCCAGCCCATACTTCTAAGCACTGGGTTTTTTTTTTTTTTGGCCAGGGCTGGGTTTGAACTCTCCACCTCCAGTATATGGGGCCAGTGCCCTACTCCTTTGAGCCACAGGTGCGCCCTCTAAGCACTGTTTTGCACACATTCTAACAAGCTGGGAGTTGGGAGAAGGGAACGAGATAACTGGTGTGTAGAATCTAGCCAAGCTTCCCTCTTAAGTCCCTGCTTCATCCTGGCCTGTTTCACCACAGCACAGTGGCCAGATCATTTAATGAATTGCATTTGATACAAGAGGAGGCTGAGGAGATCACTGAGTTCCTACCTGGAAGAGCCAGACTGGAAACCCAGGTGCTCCTCTGTCCAGAAGCCTCTGCTGTGCTCCACAAGCGCCTCCTGTGCGTGTTGACACCTTTTTCTCTCCAGTGCTTGATTTACGAGCACCTCTCACACCTTCCTCGAAAGCAGTTGGCTCTAGTATCTACTCGTGAGCTTGTTGCTGAGTTAGGATTGCTCTTCCCTGACAGAATTTGGTTTCCCTGCTTAAGAGAACCTGTTGGGAGAACCTACAGAGAGAGGGAACTTCTGTTCTTGGCGACCAGGGCAGCTCGTATACAAAGAGTATATCTCGTCTCTTTACTGATGTGAGTAGTCTGGGCTGGGAAACTCCCTTCTCATCACTCTGTGGGGAGGCAATGCTTGCGGCCAGTGGCCAGCACCTGCCGTCTGAACCTCCTCTCACTTGTCTCAGGTAGGGGCTGAGGTGGATGAGAGATGTACACAGTCTGGGGACGCCTTGTTCTTGTTGCTGCCTGCAAGGGCAGGTGCCAGCTCCGGTTCCTGAATCTCTGACAAGCAACCACACGTGGGATGAGGGTCTTCCTCAGTGCCAGGTTAGTCTCTCTCTCTTTCTTTTTTTTGAAAAGTAAATATTTCAGGTTAATGTGAGGGTAAAAACGACCAGGTCAAAATACATTTGATTTTGTTAGGTAGAGTCCCTCTTGTGGTTATGTCCTACACACAAAAGGTGTGCTAGACACCCCGACCTGTGCCCATTCCGTGAGAGTGCCCCCCCATCCCTCCCTCATTACCCCTCCCCCTGACTTGAATTGAAATGGGCTTTTCTCCTATGTGGGCACATATCCGATCATTTACTGGCTTTGTACGTCCAGAGTCCCTTCAGAACCTGCTAGTCCTGTGCGATGTCAGGGTTAGGGTTGGGTATCAGTGGATGCTGGGTGGCAGGGGGGACTCCACCTGAGCTGGATGGAGGATGGAAAAGCCTCTGCAGGTCTCAGATACTGGTCCAGAAGCTGATGGGATTCGGCTCCCTGGAAGCCACTGGCCGGACTGGGAAATCCTTTTTGGAAAGTGCTTCCCCCACTTTAAGAAAATTCTTGTTGGAAATGGTGTCCCTCCTCGAGTGAATTCCCCTTGAGGGAGGCATGATTTTCCCTCATCAGCATTTCCCCATTTTGCAGGGCTGGAGGAGAAAGCTCTCTTCAGTCTGTTGTCTGTCCCCTTCTTTTCTCCAGGATTGAGGTTTCCCACGTGGAGCGTGCAGCAGGTTGCGCTCTCCAGGATGGAGCCCGGCAGGCAGAAGTTGGCTGTTTGGAGGGGGCACTTATGCCTGTTTGTGGGAGGGAGGGATGCAGTGTGTGCAGGGGTGAGGGGAGATGAGCTAGCTTACAACCTCGTCACTGCCCTCAGTCCTAGGCAGCTCTGATGCCAGGAAGAGCCAGGGGGTCTGGGCTACACCCCAGCGTGAAGCCGTCATTCCATGTGGAATCCTCCCTCCTCGCGTGTAGCCTCAGGGGAGCCATCTCCCTTCAGCTGAAGGTGAGCAGGCCTCAGAGAGGACTCACTTGCTGCTGATGGATGCCGGCACTCCCAATAACGCCCCTGTTATGGGTGGGGGAGTCCGGGTAACACACCTCAGTGCCCACTACAGCCCTCGTCTGTGGCATCTAAAGCATCGCACACTTTGACCCACTTCCTTCTGACAAGTCTGCTGTGGGCAGGCCCCCTCTTGGAACAGTCGAGTTCCAAAACCATGGAGGAAGGGAGAATCTGAGGCAGTCACCGTTACCTTCCAAACCTCAGTATGGTGCTCACACCAGGGGAGGCCCCGGGAATGGAAACCAACCCAAGGAACGGCACTTCCATCTCA